ATACCATAACTAATAAAGAATTTTTTAAAAAAGTGAGAAGGAAACATCCATAGGCTGCCTCCTTCCTCCATGCACCCTACCAGTGATTGAGCTTGCAACCCGGGCATGTGCACTTATCAGGAATTGAACCAGCAATCCTTTGATACACAGGACAATACCCAACCAACTGAGCCACACTGGCCAGGGCAGAACCATTTAATTTCAGGTACTAGAAACCAGTAATGCATTTAAAAAATACAAGAGAATAACTATCCATTCAGCCACAAGCTGAGCTCCCTGAGAAAGCACAGGAAGGCTTTGGAAGGTTGGCTGCACATACCAAAGTTTGCAAATCAGCTATCAAAAATGATCTCATGTGACTTCTACATGAATCATCACAAAAGGATAAGGCAGAATTTAAAAAGTCAATTGCAATTAAGTTGAAGATACATCATCAACTAAAATAGCTGCTGCAAAATCCTATTCAAATCTCCCTTCCAGCCATATGTCTACTTTGAAGCTTTTCATTATCTTGCATTACTATTTCCCCTACTGCAAAGTACCTACACAACAGGTTCCAAAACAGTGAAAAGAAAGCAGGGACCAAAAACTAAGAGAACTTTCCAGTGCTACAAAATACTTAATTCCTTGTTCTTTGAAGTTTCATAAAGATGTTGCCTTCTGAGATTAAGAGCTAGAAGCAGTCTAAAATCATGACCAAAATTAAGGGGTCTTTCTACTAGGGAGGGGTGAGTAGGGAGGAGGTGATTGGGAGAAGGCTGCAAGAGCCAATGATAGAAAAATCTACTGTGAAGACACTAAAAACTTGAGAATTTTTACATTGGCTTTCTCATGTTCTTGCTCCCCACAGCTGCTTTTCCCCAACCTACTTGATAAAATCCAAATTGTACAACAGCTGCTAATCTACAAAATCAATTCTCTAACAGCTATCATTGACAAACTACTCCCCAAACTAGCTGAATTATGCCTAATCTCTCCTGCTAAAGCCCTATGAAAAAATTCTGCCTTCCCCAAGTTATAACTCTCCTCCAGAGCCTTTCATGCCCAGCATTTTCTATTATAGTCTTATGCTGACAGTGCCCTGGTTAACTTTCTTTCAAACTGTGAAAAGTTCTAAGAGGTTAACACAGCAATAATTTGCTTCTTGATGGGCTCCAAGGTAATACTGGGCACTATTTCTGTGTCTATACAGACTCACTAGGGAAATAGGCAATAGAAAAGTAAAGTCACCAGTGATCATTTAAAAAAAGCATAAAGGCAAAGATAAACATTTATTAACAGCCTACCTCTACTGCTTCATCCTTTTATATAATGTATTCTTTTTAATCCTCATTACAACCCTTGGATAAATATTCTTACGTTCATTCTTCATATGGGAAATCAAAAAGTTAGATAGTAAATTTTATATGTTATCATATTTTATTACAATAAAAAAAAGTATGATTGCAATAATCACCAAAAACTAGAAACTCCCCCAAATGTCCATCAGCTGGTGAATGGAAAAGCTAGCTGTAGTATAGCCACACAGAACACTACTCAGTAATAAAATAAAATAAAGAATTACTAGTATGCACAACATGGATGAATCCAAATTCATTATGCTAAGTGAAAGAAGCCATATTTTAAAAGCTACATACTAAATGATTCCATTTAAGTGACATATTGGAAAAGATAAACTATAGGAACAAAAATTAACACGTCAGTGGTTGCTGGAGATTGAAATGGACATAGTGAATTTAGAAGATTATGGTGATAATTATACATTTGTCAAAACTCAGACTGAACACTAAATACAAATAAATAAAAATTTTAATGTATGACTGAAATTTATACAGGAATGAAACCTTTAAAAGTCAGCTACTGTCAAAAATTTTAAGATGAGCCCTGGCCAGTGTGGCTCAGTTGGTTGAGCAACATCCCGTGCCCTGAAAGGTCGCTGGTTCAATTCCCAATCCGGGCACATACCCAGGTTGTGGGTTCGATCCCTGGTGGGGATGTGTATGAGAGGCAGCCAATTGATGTT